TAAAAAAATAAAAAAATAAAAAATAAAAAAAGGAGTACAGGCAGGGCTGTGGTAACGCAGTTGGGAGGTAGGTACGTTAGAAACAGACCCACTTGACCCCCAAGGTCCAACTTCACCAGCAGGGACTCACATCCGACAGTCTCCGGAGCACGGATCCTACGAGGGACTAGTGACTCTCGGATGATGACTGCCACTCCCCCACCCCTTTTGTGTTGCGGCTGGTGGAGCACCTGAAACCCTTCTGGGGACATTTCAGTGAGGGGGACTCCTCCCTCATTTGGCCCAGCCAGGCTTCAGTAATACATGCCAGGTCTGCCCCCTTGTCTAATATTAGGTCCCGGACGAGGGGAGCTTTATGAACCACAGACCTGGCATTTAGCAACAGCAGCCTGAGACCAGGGCCCTGACAACTCTCGCCATCTGGTCCTGGAGTAGAGCTATCAGGGCCGGAAGGAGGGATCGCTGTGATGTAGCGAACCTTCCTTCCCCGGTAATGGCTAGCCCTGTAACTCCTGTCAAACCTGCCTCTCCCAACTACGACCGGGATGCACCGGCCCATCCCCACACCCGTAGACCCCTCTTCCCCTCCCGTAGCTTCCATTCTCCCCGGCAGGCCATTCATATCATACATTCTTGGACGAGAGGCGGATCCGGGCCCCCATCCACTTCTGCTACTGCACTCTGTGGAGGGGGCTCCAGGCCGCACTCTCAATCCCCTCATACGTGTCAACCAAGCATTCTCCGCAAACATACCCCACAGCAGATTAAAAGATACAACAATATAATAAAAATAATTATACTAATTTAAAAGAAGGTAGGTTCATTCACAGGCATGCACATATATTCCACATACAGAGAAAAAAAAAAGGGGGGTGCGCAAATATTAAGATTGATGTTAAAATTGTGCAAGTAAGGTCTCTGGTTCGTGGGGTAGGGAGACAAGGGTCAAGTCGATGACAAGGGGATGCAGATGAAATAGTTTGTCTTCTCTTCTGTCCCAGATAGTATAGTAAAGGGAGGCAGAGGTCTGGGTGGTTGAGGTGGTGTCTCTAGAATAGTAATAAGTAGTAGTGGTCGTGACAGAGAAAACAGAATTATATGTCTGGAAATCCAGGAGTCCAAAACCCAACTAGAAATGGCCAACTAGCACATGTAGGATATCATCTTATAATTACTCTTAAACTTTTGAACTACTTGTTAATCACATCTGATTATTTACTAAAAAGTTAGTAATTTCCACATTGAGACATTTTATTTAAATAAAGCCAATAACACAAAAATGACTCAATTTTGTGTTATTGGCTTTATTTAAATAAAATATTGAGGACAAAATTGACTCAATTTTGTCCTCAAACTTTAATAGTTCTCAGAATCATGCTCACTTTGGAATCAAGGATTTTTATTTATCATTCTAGATTTCTGAAGCATGGATTTTTTTTATTAATAATATGAAAATTAAGTGTTGTGATTCTGTTTTGGATGTTGATATCAAATGCTTTTCAGCCTGTGACATTTTAATGCCAGTTGTCTTTTCAGATAGATTTACCTTCTAAAGCATGGGACAAAAAGGCTTATGCTCATCAGGTAGTTTTCAGATCAGTTGTTACCTAAAATATTATCCTAAGGCATAAGAAAATACAGACTTTAAGTTGCCTTTCATGAACATAATTAAGAATTAATAAGCCTCTGCTAGTGGCTAGTCCTCAGAATTTCCACTGTTTTGCCTTTTGTGACCTGTGTTATTAAAAGTCCATTATTTTTACAGACTTTATTAAATTGGATCTTATTAAAGCATTCTATATTTGCATTTGGTCTTTCATAATTCATTATTATTATGACATTTACTTTTTACCATCAGATCTGAAAACATATCATAAGCTACCCTTTTCTCTTGAAAGAAATGCTAATTTCAAACAGTCCTCTAATGGAAGTGAAAAGCTTTATCAGTTTTTTCATTTATTCAAGATCGTGTTAAGAATACTAATGTCAGACTTCAGTATGATAATGGATGAAAGCTTTTTTTGTCAAAAGCTTAGAATTAGTGTTTTTAGAACATACTAGTAAGTATGAAAGTGAAGGGAACTAGCACAATCTTCAAAAACATGACTCCTTGATATGTATTACTTCTTTCACTAATTAATTATTGAAAGTTATATTAACATATTTCTATATGCAAGCTGTTCATCTACAACTTTTGGTCTGTGTGGGGTGTGTGTATGTGTGTGTTTTGTTACAATGAACTTCTGAAATGTTATGGTATTGATTCTTGCCAAAGAGTTCAATCTTCAGTACCTGTTCTTATGGACTTCAAATTCCTCATATCTGTCTCATTATACCTTAGAGGAGAGCAAAAAGTTCCTCTTGCATTGTAAAGAATAAAAAGTAAAATATGGTAATGGTTTTAATCTCCATTTGATTCTTATAAGGCTTTTTTTGTAACAGGTGTCAAAGTGCCTAAAGATTTAAGTATATCTTACCAAAAATGATATTACTTCCTATGTAGGAAGGAAAAACTTTATACTAAAGGTTTCAAGTTTTTATCCCTCAGTCAAGTCCCTATTTATAGTCTTACTCATGTTCTAGGGCCATACAGTAATAATCCTTAATATATTACTTTTTTTTAATCCAAACTATTTTAGCTTTGGCTTTTGGCCTTTTGAAATTTAACTCCGTGCCAGTGCCACGTCCTTGGGCATGGGAGTTGCACAGATAATTTAAACTGGAGTTTGAAAAGTGGATTCAAGAATCACACAATCGTTAATGCTAGAATTGGCATCTATGAGTTTAGTGATTTTTGTCCTCCTTTCAAAATGAGTCATCTGAGAAGATGGCATGATGATGCATTCTGTTCAACATCTGAAGATTCCAAATTAAGCTTTGCTTTTAGCCATGTGCTTTTCTCCAGTGTAGTATCATTTTGCTTTTGCTTATAAAGAAATACGCATTTGAATTTAGTGGGGTCATCTTAATTTATTGAAATACCAACTGATTTCTGTATTGTTACTATTCCTGTTACAGTAGTAAAGTGTGGGATTCAGAGTTAGGAATAAACAGAATAGTGGAGGGTTGTTGCCTGAGTAAAAGGAGGTGTGTGTGTTCGTGTGTGTGTGTGTGTGTGTGTGTGCGTGTGTGTGTGTGTGTAGATTTTGATGGGTGTAGGTATGCTGATCTTGTTGTATTCAGGTCTTTTCCCATGTAAGATTGAGATTGTCTTGGCAACGTTTCAGCGAGGTCTCACTCGCCATCTTCAAGTGGGCTTAAAGTGTGATCAGAGTTTAAGCCCAAAACCCAGCCTGAAGACCTCGCTGAAACGTTGCCAAGACAATCTCAATCTTACACGGGAAAAGACCCGAATACAACAAGACCAGCATGTGTGTGTGTGTGTGTGTGTGTGTGTATTCATTCCTAATAATATGGATCTGTTGTTTTGATTACTGTCCTCCATCTCTTATGATTTGTATTTTAGGAATAAACCAGAAAAGACATTGAGAGCATTTTGTATTTTTTGTTAATGCAGAGGTAGATAATAAAGAAAACAGTGCAAGAAGCCAATGAAATATTATTCATCTATCTCTATCCCATTAATTTTCCAAGTGCATAGAAACTTAGAGCCATTTGGGCCATCAAGTCCAACCCTCTAATTGGTGCAGGGATCCAAATTAAAGCATTCCTGACATTCTAATTAGGAACGGGAATTACTTCCTTCATTAATCTGAGTTTCATGTTGCTTTTACCATTAGAAGTTTTTTTCTTTTGTTTCATTTACCAATATCTATAACTTAATACAGGTAGTCCTCAATTTACAACAGTTCATTTAGTGCCCGTTCAAAGTTACAACGGCACTGAAAAAAATGACATGACCATTTTTCACATTTATGACATTGCAGCAGTCCCATGGTCACATGATTTACATTCAGAAGCTTGACAGGTGGTTCATATTTATAACAGTTGCAGTGTCCCAGGTCATGTGATTCCCTTTTGCAACCTTCTGACAAGCAATGTCAATGGGGAAGCCAGATTCACTTAATAACCCTGGAACTAATTTAACAACTGCAGTGATTCACTTAACAAATATGGCAAGAAGTCATAAAACTCACAAATTTCTCACATAGCAACATAAAGTTTGGACTCAATTGTAGTTGTAAGACAAGGACTACCCATTATTCAGTATCCTGCTCCCTGGAATGATGAAGAACAGGTTTTCACCTTCTTTACTATAAACTGAAAATTTCCCTCAAGCCATCTTTTCTCAGTTCTCAGTCTTTCTCTCTCTGTCTCTTCATAAAACCAATCTCATTGTATTTCTTTGCATTTCTTCCAGTTTTCCTGAATAATCTTACAAATCTGTTACCCAGAAATGTTGAGGCATTGTATAGTAATCATTGCAAAATAATGTATACTTCGCATATTTGGAAGCTGGTACAATGGCATAACATAAAATTTCTTCTCCTTTAGCAGCTACATCACATCACTAATTCATCTTCAGTTTGTGATCCAAGTTATTTTTAATATCCAGGAATTCCCATTTCTATATTTCTGCATTTTTCTCTTTCCTGAGTGTATAACTTTGCATTTATCTCTATTAAATTTTGTTCGGTTGTTTTCAGCTCATCCCTCTAACCTACCAAGATCCTGAATTTTGTTTTCAATCTTCTAAAATAGCAGCTGACCTGCCCTGTTTTATGTCAAGTGCAGATATGATAATCATTTTGTGGTTATCCCATCAGAATGGGGTGCTCTATCAAAGCATAATTGAAAACAAGATATGTATATAGTATTTGCACAGTCTACTAAGAAAGTTACCAAATAAAAAAGGGATGACTTTAGTTTGGAAAGTCTTATTTTTTTATAAATATAATAATCGAATAATCTCTAGATGATTTGCATCTAATATATATTGTTTTCAAGTTGGTCACGTATTAATAGTTTTATGATATGCTGTAGAATTTTCTCATGAATTGACTAATTTTGTTTTCCTTATGTTAGAGTTCTAGTTTGTTTTCTTCTATCTTTTGAAAGTCGAGGTTTTCAGCTATATAACTTAAGAATTGACAGAAGGATCATACTAAACCACTAGGTCTCAGTTGTTTCTAACTATTAAATCTGGGAGCAGAATTGATACAGAGCTATGAATGTTGCGCAAAAGAATGTAAAGAAATTTAGATAAGAGAAAAATATAAAGAAGATAGTAGGTTTAATAGAAATAGGTACGTTGCAGCATAGAAGAAAAAGAGAGGGTGGAAGTGGATGTTCCCTATGGAAAATAATAAGATTGCAAGAGTCCGCGGAAAATTGTTCACAGTATAAAAAGAGAAAAAAATGGGGCTACTGTTAACCACATATAAAATCCTGTGTTTTCCTGAAAATAAGGTACAATGTACTGCATATATTTTTGCTGTGAAATTATAAAAGTTATATGACATGCATATATATTTTGGAAATTAAATGAATATGATACTTTTTAGTAATGCAAACTGTTCTATTTTTCAGGTTTCTAACAATGTGCACAAGACACTTTGGCAGTGTTGTAGCTCAAACTATTCGCACTCAGAAGACAGATCAGTTTCCATTGTTCCTTATTATTATGGGAAAACGATCATCAAATGAGGTGTTGAATGTAATACAAGGTATAGTCCATGTATTCTGTTTGATGCATGTTTTGTATTGAAACTTTCAACTGAATTTGTATCGATTACACTAGTAGTCAAGTGTATAAATTCTCCTGGAATATAGTTTATATTCTTACATTAACAAAGTATGTGTAGATAAAATGAAAAATTTGTGCATTTATCTTATATACATTTGCAACAACTATGTGTATCTGATCAAAACTAATATAGCACGATAGTGTTTGAAAATCAGTGATAAAAATGTTCAGCTTCAATCTTGGAAAGTTTACACCTTATGATGTTACTCAACAAAAGAAGTGAAAAAAAATTGGCAAATGTTCTAGCTGGTTTTTAGAAGTAGGTCTCAGGATGAATCTTAGTTACCTGGAGAAGTTACTACGTCACATTCAAAAACCTAACCCCTTGTTCTAGTAACTTGAGTGTGAGTAAGGAACTTCACCTCCCAAACTTATTCCCCCCAACCCTTCCAATGGTGGAATTCAAATAATTTAACAACGGTTCGCCCTGGGTCAGGTTAACTGTTGTGAGAAGCTTGGCCCATCCCTGTCTTCCAGCTCTGCCAGACGAGCCTCCTGTGACAGCAAACATGACCCTGGACGAACCAGTTGTTAAATTATCTCCCCCCCCCCCACTATCAAAGTGGATCCTGGGTGCTGCGCTGCAATGGAGAAATGGGCAATGGAGCAGCCAGCATGATGGAAGGCGGAAGAGCAGGGAGAAGAAAGAGGGAAAGCGCCCTTCTCCTTCCCTCACACTGGCTGTTCCGTGGCCGGTTCTCCATTGCAGTGCAGCACCCAGGATCCACTTTGATAGCAGAATGGATAATTTAATAACCAATTTGCCCGAAGCAGGCAAATTTCCTCCTTCTCTCTTTCTCTTTCTCTCCCTCTCCCTCTCTCCCATTAGAAAGAAAGCACACACAGAGAGTGGGGAATACTAACCTTTTGTAATTTATTTCAGTCTTATAAAAATAACTATGAGTATTTATAGCTATATGAATTGATATTCATTGATTTTTTAAAAGATGTGCCTGAAGGACCTTTACCATCCCTATATTGAAACTCTAAAATAATCCAGAAATAGTTGCAGGAAAAAACTAGAGTCATATTCAATGAGTTACTTTGATGTTTTATGATATAATGTTCACAGTTTTCCCTTGATTTCTTGATACTTACTTACAAATCACTTAAATTTTAGACTACTTTTCTAGCAACTGGAATGTTGAAACTTAGTAGTAATGTACTTCCATATTCTCCATTGAAATCTGGATATTGCTATACTGATGGATTAACATCACTGTGAAAAGTATTGCAGAGGTTGAAACCAAGATTCGTATGCAGTGAAATAGAGCTGTGAAATCTCTTTATGTATTTCAAATATCGTTACATTAGCAATGCAACCAAGAAGTAATAACCCAACAAATAGTGTCCAATTAAGGGGAAAATGGGCTGCTCTTCATCATTATATATGTTACCAATCTTTGAATCAATGAATGGCAGAGGTAATTCTCAGGGCTATTCATTGTAAATGTTAATATTTAAATTCAACACAGAAATATCAATAGATATGTCAAAAGATCCTGTGATAATATCTATGGCAGTTTGAAAAAATGTTTAAGAATAAAAATTTCCCTCTTCCTTCCTTATTTATCTCTAGTTTGAGATCATGACCTGGTTATTATTGCTGATATGAAGTTGAAATAGAAATTATAATTAATCTATTTTTTTCATTTAGATTCACATTTACAATTGGAAACTTTCAGAAACTTTAAAATATAAATTAAATGACACTAAAATAAAATTAATTGCATTTTCTTTATAAAAAAAATCTAAGGTATTATTTTTGGATTATTTGTAAAATGACTTGTTGAGTTTGTAAAATAACTTTAATATTATGAAGTTAAACTGTCCTTCTTTGTTGCTAGGAAACACAACAGTGGATGAGTTAATGATGAGGCTGATGGCTGCAATGGAGATCTTCAGTGCACAGCAGCAAGAAGACATAAAGGATGAGGTGAGCCCTGGACATCACTACAGACAGCTATTGAATTTAGAGTAAGGGCCTTCTTAGACAATTAAAAATGCTAGATTCTATATTTATGCTGTTACCTGTATTAGTATTAATTCAGTATTAATTGCATATGGTTTAATTAATATTAAGAAAATAGAATGGCTTCATTTTTAATGTTTGTTTGAAAAAGAGGTTTGGAAGGTTGTTCCTATAAGAGTGAAAGAAACTCACAATAACAAAATAATTTATTCTGTCCATCAGAATAGGAATGCTATCTATCAGATCATTCTAAGAATACTGCTCTGCCTCCATGTAAGATTTGAGACATAAGTAAAATGAGATCAATATTCACATTTACCTCTTCTGCAATGTCTCCATATTTATGACGTAAAATATCAAATTTGAATATAGTGAAATTTAAGGAACTGATCACACATTCTGTGGAATAAAATACCTCTAACTTTCACAGTCTTTCAAATCAGTTGTAAATACTGTTTTTGAATATTGCAAAAAATGGGCAATCCTTGCAGGAAGGAAAGAATTTCTAAAACAGTGTTAGGAAACTTTACATTTATTGTAGTGAACAATTTTGTGAAAATACTAACTAGGAATTTAACATATTCTTTGAATGAAAACTTGTTTAACAGTAATTGTTTTGACGAGCATTGCTGTTTTTTGGCATTTTTTTTTAAATGGGAAAAATATGCTTTACCAATTAAGTATGTGTTACTAGGGTAATTGCCTTACTAATTCAGCATCTACAATTAAATGTAACTGCTTCTTACTACTACCTATTAACAATAAGGTGAGACATAATTTACAGAACCCCATACAAGATTGACCATTGCCTGGTCAACAATGCACTAGATATTGGAGTTCCTGGATATCTGATGAGAAATGGATTACAGGACTCAGGACTGTTGGCTAAGCAACCAGGGCCACCAAGTGTAGGTCTTCTAGAAGGAAAGTTGTTTACCCATTGCAAATATACAAAAACTGAAAACAAAGAGTGTTATTGAAAGATTAAATAAACTGTTATTATAAATCAAGTCCCAATGAGAAGAGGATTTCTGAAGAGAATGCACAGTTCTGGAAAGAACAACATTTAGAATTAGAAATAGTAGAACAGAGGTTAGCAAATCAGCATTGATTTAGAATACAAAATAAAATATTCACAGAAGTAGAATTGGAAGAATTGCAGAAGATCTACCCAGGGCAAAGAAACTGAAGCCTCACCAGAAGTAACTCACATTGTAGAGGAAAACCAAGGGGAGTTGGTAGTAGGTGAAACTAGCATAGCTATTCATTCATTCTCATTCCTGAACAAATCACTGTTTTCTCAGCCTTCTCCTTGGAAAGAACAAAACCCTCTTAAGTAAATAGCAAAAGAAATTGAAACAAAAAAAAATGAGCATCTAGAACAGCACAAAAACAGCAGAATACTGTTGCCTGCATTGAAGCTTGTTAGCTAGCATAAATATTAAAATACTGTAATATGAAATATAAGCACCAGCTTACAACAAGAAACAAATTCACAAATCTGCTATACATTATAGCAGTTATAACTGAATATCTCCGATGCAAAATCAGTAAAAACCAAAAAAGCCTGTGTACACCAAAATGGAAGATAGGATTGAAAATAAGATCAGCATCCTAAGATCAGATGCAAGCAAGCTAGAACAAATAAAAAAGAAGAAGACCAAAGAATATCTAATTAAGAAGTATTATCTAGAGCAGTGGTTCCCAAACTTGGGAACTTTAAGACTTGTGGACTTCAACTCCCAGAATTCTCCAGCTAGCTCTTCTGGCTGGAGAACTCTGGGAGTTGAAGTCCACAAGTCTTAAAGTTGCCAAGTTTGGGAACCACTGATCTAGAGGAAAGGAAATCAAGGAAGCACTAGAAATATAAAACCAAATAACAGCAGTAGCCAAGAAGTTCAGCAGATAAAAAGCATGAATTGCACACTATAGCAGAATCTCCCATTTCGGTTGAATCAGAAATGATTCTACCAATCCTCAGTGAAGAAACTGTAATGAAACAATCAACACTGGACAAAGAAGAAACACTGCAATTCTGAGCAAGCTGTGAGACAACCCTCCCCAAAATAAAAAAAAATAAAAAAGCGGCTTGCATAAAGGAGGTGGATATGAATTTTTTAAAAAGCTGAAATGTAAGAATTTGTAATACCAGCAGAAAAGGTAAAGAAAAGGGTAGGGAAGATAAACAATTGGTCAGCATCAGGCGAAGATAAACTGTATGGTTTTTGGTTGAAACATCTGGCTGGTCTACATACACTCATTGCCAAGCAATTAAGAGCAAACTATAAGAAGGCGAATTTGAAAATTGAACAACATTTGGAAGAACATATTTGGTATAATGATAGATTTAACAAAAGAGACAGCCCCAGGTAACTACAGGCCAATTACCTTTCAAATTGCTAACTGAGATAGTAGCTGATGCAACTGCATCTAGTTGAAAACAGTCTTTCAACCTGGACAGAAAGAGAAGCTCCTAACTGACAAAATGATTTTATAAAATTGCAAAAGAAGGAAGACCAGCTTGGACTGAAAACCAACATGAATTCATTGGCTCGGATTAATTACAAAGAAGCATTTGATTCCCTGCCATATGATTGGATAATAAAAATGCCTAAAAATAACAGAACTCAGTATACACATCAGGAGTTTTGTGCAAAGATCAATGTACAATGGAATAGGCAATTGCCAATCAATGTGAGGATATCAATATCAAGAGAGGGATCTTGCAAGGATACTCACAATTGGCACTGTTGCAATGATTCAGTGCAACTGTCAACAATACTGAACAGTTCATGGCTATCAAACATCAAAAACACCTGCCAGGCTACCCCACCTTCTTTATACCTCAAATCGAACCAATGCTCAACACTGTAAATATATGAACTTTGGAGTAGACAAAGGTGCCAACTTGCCATCAGCAGAAGAAAAATAGTGAAAATTGAAGGAATCAAGATGCCCTATGGAAAAATAACATCAAGAGTCTGACTGAAGAAGATCACTATAAATACCTGGACATTCTTCAATCTGACAATATCAAGCAAACTGAAATAACACACACACACACACACACACACACACACACACACACACAGGCAAAGCAGATAACAAGAAGACCTGGCAATGACTAAGAGCAGGAAAGTTAAAGAAAGAGACAAAGGGGCTAATTCTGGCTGTACCAGATCAAGAACAAATTCATACAAAGCCAGAATTGAAGAAACAGCAACAGGCGGCAGGTGCCACCTTTGCAAAGAAACCAAAGAAACTGGTTAGCAACTGCAAGGAAATTGTACAGACTGACTACAAACCACAACATGACAAAGTAGCAACAATGGTGTATTGGATGATCTGCAAGAAATACCATTTGCCCTCAGGCAAGAACTGATGGGATCATAAAATAGCAACCGTAATAGAAATTGAAGAAGCTAAAGTATTCTGGGACTTTTGAATTCAAACAGATAGGCACCTGCCACATAACACACCAGACCTAACAATAAGAAAGTCTGGATAGTGGACATGGCAAGACCTGGAAATAGCAGAAGAGGAGAGAAAGAACTGGAGATCACAAACTACAAAGATCTGCAAATAGAAATAGAATGACTGTGGCAGAAGCAAAAATAGTACCAATAGTAATAGGCGCCTTGGGTGCAATCTCAAAACAAATGGAGCACCACTCGAACACCATCATAATTGATAAAATCACCACCAATCAGTTGCAACTCAGAAGCGACAATATCTTTAACATCGTTAAACTTTTATATTTGACTGTCCTAGGTCCTTGGGAAGGACTCAATAGATGGATAAAAATTCTGAATCCACTGGCTGACTGTGATCAACTATAATAAATAAATAACTACTATGGAGATTTATTTCATGCAGACTGATGAGCAAATAAAGTGATAAAAGTTCTCTAAAAATGCCAGCGTTTCAATTATACAAATATAGTCACAAGCCACATACACAAAAGTGAAGTGGTTATCTGTTACTTTATTAATTGAGAATGACATTTACAAGTAATGAAATACTTAGTTAGGATTTTGCAATAATAGGTGTGTTCCTATTTAAGATTATTGTTATCCTGGATGTACAGTAGAAACATTGTTTGACAGTAATGCACTAAGCATCTTATTCATCCAACTAAATCATATGCCTCACTAGTACAAGGTTTTTTTCATTGTATTAGCCTTGAAATATATGTCATCTATTTATATAGTAATGCTGTCTGTTTTCAATCTGACAAAATGAACATCATTTTTTTTCATTCTTAGAAAATTTAACTATAAGCATATGATAATTGAATATTTTTATTACCCTTTTTCAACAAGTTACAAACATATACAATACAGAAACATCTATACATAGATAAAAATGAATGTAGATAAAACTAATTGGTGATCCTACCTAAATGTTAGGCTCATACAATTAGGCTTGTAAAGCATCATCAATAAATCTTTCTAACCCAATCCACAAACTTAGGGAGAAATTTAAAAAAAATGCTTTTATGTTATACTGGTAGTCCTCGACTTAACAACAGTTTGTTTAGCAACTGTTCAAAGTTACAGTGGCACAAAAATGTGACTTATGACCGCTTTTCATAGTTATGACTTTTGCAGCATCCTCATGGTCATGTGATCAACATTCAGATTTCTTGGCAACTGGTTCGTATTTATGACCTTTACTGTATCTCAGAGCCATGTTATCACCTTTTGCGACCTTCTGGCAAGGCAAAGTCAATGGAGAAGCCAAGTTCACTTAACAACCAGGTTACTAACATATCAACTGTGATTCACTTAACAACTGTGGCAAGAAAAGTCATAAAATGAGGCAAAACTCACTTAACAAATGTCTCATTTAGCAACATAAATTTTGGGCTTAATTATGGTCATAAGTGAAAGACTACTTGCATTATTGTTCCTTATTTCTGTATAACTTACTGAATGTGATGATTGCAGACCTTTTGATGGCAT